TGACATCTAGTTAGTGAACCCAACCAAACTAACCAAACTAGTTAGGATTAAACTTAGACTGTATGAGACCTTTTTTAATTTATACATTGTCAACCAAATGTTTTTTTGGCGGGAACCCTTTTTTATTGGTATTAGTATCACCTCCTTCATAGAAATTCTCCTTCCACAAAAAACTCACTCATCCACTGAATCTGTCTCCATCTACTGAAACTCTGTCCTGCACAAAAAGTCTCTTCCCTCATTGAATGGATTTACTAACGAAGTTTGATGTGAGCATAATAAACACCCCTCCAAACAAAGACCGCCTTCGAAACACAAGTGAGTCACCAGATAAGCAATGTCACATTCCTAGACAGAATGACCATTTTGTTGGAAGTTTTGAGTCTGAAAGAGTTCTTGTTTTCTAGAAGGAGAGGCATCTTCAACTTGGTGATCAAATCCAAAGGGCAAGGGCACGTTTGGAATTTGTTGAAGGCCAAATTGAAGATGACAAAAGGCAGGCCAATCTGGATAGGGCGAAGTTGCAGCGCATGAAGCGTAGACACAAACGACTTCGGAGTGTAGCTGTTCAAAAATACAAGAACTCATCTAATGCAAAGGAGTCAAAGAAGCGTGTGATGCAAGCTGGATTCGACTACTTCCGGTCCTATGCAAAACTCGTCGTACCCGGGTTTGATTGGTCATCTATTACCGTTTCCGATGTTAACAAATATACTCAGCAAAGGAAGTAATCATTTTGGTTATCGTGTTTGAGTAGAGGCAAATCAGAGGAATTGGAATTTTTGTTAAACTCTGCTTCAAACCCATTTTGATGCTTACTACTATAGAAGATTTCAACCTTAATATTTTGATGTCTTTAATTACGACAACACGATGCAAAGTGCCCATCTACTTCAGTTATATGTTGCTGCCATGTCCATTTTTTTGTGATCACGTATCAGATTTGGACATGGTTGCATCATATGCAATGTTGCCTTTATGTATTATATGTTAGGGCAAGGTTTATGGAAAAGAATGTGTGAGTGCTTTTGTAACAAGGTTAGGACATTATTTTGTACCAGTTATATATTGTTTTTTGTATTATATGTGAGTGCAATGTTTATGGAAAAGCATGTGTGAGTGCTTTTGTGACAAGGTTATGGCATTATTTTGTACAAGTTATATATTGTTTTTTGTACTGGTTCATCTCCTACTATTGCTTTATTTCTTTATATTATATGTTTATGACATTGGACATGATAGAAAATATATTACTGATTCCCAATGCAGCGTCATATTGACAACTTATTGAATACCGCCGATGTGTTCAAAACTCTAGGTGCAGGTGCATATGGACAACTTATTAAATATCTATGACGTCTTCAAAGCTCTAGGCGCATGCGCAGTTCCAATGATGGCTTCGAAGTAGTGGTGCATTTATTATATATATACATTATTATAACCAAAACAGATAATTTTACATCCTTATATATGAAAGGAAACTAATTCTTGTATTATTACAAATTATATAACGAATATTAAGGAAATATACTTCTTAAAGTGACAAACATATATACTCAGGGTTAAGAGGAAAGTGAGTTATGTAAAAAAAATTTGAATTTGTAATTGCGAAATGGATGATTTATAGGTTTCATAGTTTTATAACGTCACAAGGAGGCCGGAGTATTTTTCGGGGCATTTTTAGGATTTTTCTACTATTTATTGCATTTTTTCAACGATTTTTGCACCAAAAAAGCCAAAATAATTGCCAAATGAACACCTGGCGCTATCTCAGCCCCTCACCTTTCACCCTTTGACATGTGTACGTCAGTCAACATGGCCACATCCTTACCTTTTACCCTAAATTATTATTTTTTTACTTTTTCTTAGAAAATTCATAACTAAATACAAAAAAATCAGAAAAATGATCCGAAAATTGCTACGAACTCATTGAGACTCCATCTCCCTTGCTGAATTCCCCGATTCGTGGTTACGCATTTTAAAAAGCAGTTCCGAACATTAACGGGAGATGCTTGTTGAAGTAGGTTATTGAAGTTAAAGTTAACAAACATATATACTTAGGGTTAAGAGAAAAGTGAGTTATGTAAACCAATTTGGATGTTTTCATTGCGAAATGGATGATTTATGGGTTCCATAGTTTTATAACGTCACAAGGAGGCGAGGGTATTTTTAGGGGCATTTTTAGGATTTTTCTACTAAGATCGTATATACCCTTTCAATTCTTTCTTTTTCGAAATGAAGAGCTAGGAGCACATCATGAGGCAATGAAGTTTCGGCAGCACGATGAAGACAATGAGGGAGGATATTCTGCACTCGTTCAAAAGCAACTTGACCCTTAGCCTCAGTGATTCGAGCAGTCCAATACATAAATTCTAAGAATGACATAACAAGCAACACAAGAGCATGAACAAAAAAAATCTTTAGAGAAACCATTTGGCAAAGTAGATAAGAAGAAAACATAGCGACAGCCCTTGCCTTTTTTGTTTCCACCCCTATGGGCAAGGGCAAGGGCAATTACTATTCACTTTAATTTATTTTATATTTTTTTATACTTAAACCATTAATTTTGATAAGATTTTTGGTTGCCACGTGTCACTATTTGTTATAAAATTCTTATTTCAAATTTCAGATTAAATTTTCAGATTAAATTTTAGAATAAGATTTTTGGTTGTCACTTGTTCATATTTATTATAAAATTCACATCTTAACTTTCAAATAAAATTTTCAGATAAGATTTTTGGTTGCCACGTGTCCATATTTATTATAAAATTCACATTTCACTCATCATACAGTTGAAATATCTACTCACTCAATATACAATTGAAATACTTCTGGTCCTCATAGTCCGACACAATCGAGTACAAAGACGACTCAATCATTGGCGGAGGCAGTTCCACCGAATCACGATGTGGGGGAGTATTTTCCTTTGGATGATGTAATAGTGCCATTATTTCCAACACGGAAAGCGCTAGTGGAACTGACTGCGAGCATTGTTCACTTGAGGAGCCATGTGTAATGGTTTTCCTCTTTTTTGTTTTGCCTTGAATAATATATTAAAAAGATGAAATTGGAAATGCAATAAATATAAATAAAAAATGACATTAAATTGAATAAAATGGCAATTTTTTTTTTTACCTCGTCGCCAGATTTTGACCACTTAGTATATTTGTCCGGCTTCAATGGAAGAGGTCATTTGAATTTTTACACAAATGAAATTTTATAGTATAAAATTTGGTGTGGAAAGTGAAAAATATTGGAATAAGATGAATTTGTATAAAGATTTGGTATGGAAAGTAAATAATATTGGTAGGTACTTATAGATTGCACTCACACTCACTCATGCATCAACCATTGATTGGAGTTTGGATCCATAAATAAAACACAAGCTATTGCTTGTAATTCACAGAATCATTGTATTAACAGGTATTTGCACAAAATATGTCATATTGCTTTGATGATGTTAAAACCTGTGATCAGTAATCCCTATGCGCATGTACTTTGTAAAATTTGTAATGTGTTGGTTGACTAGTTGTGTAAATACCAATGTGATTGTGCAAATACGTGGTAGTATATGTGTTCACGTTATTTCATCTTGTATTTCAGGAAAT